CCTTGCGTGCTAGTGGCACTCCCACCTTGCTTGGGGTGAATTTCCTAAAAAAAAAAGAAAGAAAGAAAAAACTTCAAAAGAAGACTCTTTTTTTATTTTATTATATATTATTTGAAAGGAACTTCAATTTGACAATATAACGATTCCACATAAACATATTATTTTCCGATATTATGGTACCGCAATTATCAAAATTAATATGTTTTAAAGTACAAGACCTAAAACTATAGATAAACAAGCTTTTGCATTTTAATTGTGAAAGTTAAAATAAAATATGACATAATGACAATAGAAGAAAACATTCTTTTAATAATTGATGACACTATAGTGTCATCTTTTAGCGTTTCAATATCGATACATTTTGGATCCGCCTTTGGAGTTCTATTTTTGAGTTCATGCCTCGCATGCATACAGGAGAACCGATCAGACGAGGCCATGCAACAATCTCAGTCTCTTTTTGAACTTTTTTGTCTTTCCACATAGGTTACAACTGTGCCATTGTTGCTATTGACAAGGCAATTCTTGCATGGACTTCCGGCTTGGAACCAGCTTGGCTGATGAGAGCACTTTGACGTGGTGTAATGGTTAGAAAGCTTGTCTCACGAAATGAATTACGACTGAATAGTGATATGGATTCTCACTGGGTGCTTCACACTTTCGGCCTTGTGCTACAACTACACTAATTTTAAAAATCATTTAGGGAACATCGGCGTAGTGTAATGGTTAACAATCTTGCCTCTCTAGATGAATTACGACTGCATAGTGAATTCGATTTTCACTGGGTGCACCATACTTTCGGCCTTGTGCCACATCAAAGCTACGCATAGTAAACCACCATCTTGGCTGATGATTTCACTAAGGTATTTTAATTGCATCTCTGTCTCCAGTTGTTGACCACTTACAGGAATTAGTATCCTGATAGGTCTGTTATTATTTCTCATCAGCTTTATTTTATTCGTGTTGAATTTTATTCCATTGGCGGGTCCAAGCTGCAGTGATGAGCTGCTTCAGACGTTTGCTTGATATTTCCTCCACCGACCACATCACGAATGAAGAGTGAATCCTCAGGTGAACACCTATCACTTGACCACCATAAAAAAGGATGCTAATGTCGTATAGCTACGTAAACAGATTGTGATACCTCTCCAGGACAATTATACAAGAAAACGGTGAAAGAGACATGAAAGAAAGAAGTGGTTGGACAAAGTTTTGTCAGGCCTAGGCACTAGCCAATGACTGGATGAAGTGGAAGCTTCTTAATGAGCAAGCCACCATGCAGGGGTCCTACGACCCTCTCGTATAATGGGACAAGAAGAAGATCAATACTTTAAGAAAAGATGAATATTTTTAAATTTTTCATTAAGGAATTATAAAAGTTTAGTGGCACCACAAGAAGATACATTTTAATAAGTTGTAATGCATGCGCGAATAGAAATGGAAGCAAGGACATGAGGAAAATATTGTAGCCTAAAACTGCACCTGCTTTGCTTTTACTGATGCAAATGAGTTCAAGAAAAAACTGTCCTTGGAGATATTCAAAACTGACAGACTGTCGAATGTTTCTAGATATTTTACTTCTTAGCGTACTGCGCAATGGAAGCGTGCTGGGCTCATAACCTGTAGAGTAAGTGAACATAGATACAATAGCAGAACTATTCAACAAACAGAATATATGCAAGGAAAATTAACATTGGTGTTGACACACAAGAGCAAATTTGGATAAACGAACGTTCTGACTTCAAGACAAAACAGACCGGGACTGAATCAGATGAGACCAAGATATGGCCTATTTTATTGGCTAGGAAGAAATCCCAGTATGCATCTGTGTAGTTTTGTCGATAAATTGAGGAGGGGAAAGTGGTTTGCAATTATTCCCAATGTGATTGGGACCAACACTTAGTGTCTAATTAATGAATATTACCCGACAAATTAATTGTTCAGTGCCATTCTCACCAAATGGTGACCATGGCATATAACTCTATTTACCATATTCAAGATACGTAACTAGTCGAGAGGATTCTATCAAAGCAAGATACTGTTATCACGTATATGCATAGTAAAAGAATTTCAGATGATTTTACTATATAAATGGATTTAAATAATAAAACTATTGTACTTTCTGGTAGTATCATGTGACAGAAAGTATTGAATTACATAGTACCAGTATCAGATAAAAATAAACATTGATATAATCGAACTTTCTTAGTATGCCAGTATCAAGACCTTTATTAATATAGTTGTTTGTTTCTAGGATGAGGAGTTATCATTATTTATACTCATTATATTCTGACTCTTGTCTTCATCTTTGTTCGTGTTATTAAAACGTTTCGGCCGTTGTGCCGTCCGGTATTCGACCTGGGTAACCTACAGGGAATTCTGAACTGAACCGGTTATTTAACCTAGAGGTGGGGTGGGCTGTTATTGATCCACTGCCCATGTCTAGGGATATTTTGTCAAGTTAGTATTTTTAGTATTTTAAAGATATTTGTTGGTCAGAAAGATGGATGTGCAAGTGGTGAGCCGAATTCGAATCCCAATCGAGTTTCTTGGATTCACTTTCGCGGAAATACCCTTGAGGAAACGTATAAATATATCTCCATCTAAGGATTAAATAATAGATCAGACTGGGTTCTTCAGTCTTGGTTGGCAAATCGAAGTGCAAATCTGTATTTAAAACCGGTTGGGCTATGAAATCCATCCCTTAAAAACGTACTTGGTACAGTAACCACAGCAACACCGCCTAGTATGTTTAGAGATGTGGCTCCATACACCACAGTAGAGACTATAGAACCAAAGTATGTGGAGGTAAGACAAAACGCAATAAAACATCAATTTACAAGGGTATTAATGAAAACGAAACCTCGGTTGGAATTCGAACCCCGCTTCGCTGGTTCTGTTTCAAGTGCTCGTAAGTATTACCCCGCCCTACAAAACCTTCATTTTTTTTTTATCTTTTTACCCTTCAGAAGCTTTTTTCTCTCCCCAATGTAGATTGTTGAACTAGTCAAGATAAACACTAAGGGTGGGGTTGTGGAAATAAGATCTCACCACAGCTGGACTTTGCCTCTTTTGTAAACCGGTGCCAGGGGTGGGGGCAGCCAATTACTAACAATTATCGCAAAAATGACGTGGGTGGTGTAATCAGTTTTCCTGAGGGCGACGTCGGGGTGGAGAATTGTACGTGGGTATGGACACGAGCAAGCTGTTGGAAAGTTATAACATAGATCATCCAACCATTATTTCTCTTTTAACGAAAAGATGATATGGCCCAGTGATTAGATCGAGGCCCGACAAATCTCAATCTAGGTTCGCAGTTAAGCGAAATTGTGCTCTATAAGTGGGATTCTTTAACTAAAAAGAGGTAATATGTATACAGCTCCAAGTGGTTTGTAAAAAGATCAGAAGAAAACATCAATCGAATGTTTCAGAAAAGGCATGAAATCTACCGCTCATGTACTATACAGACAAATATATTTCAGTCATAAATATTTCACAGACAAATCAGTATTCCTCCATATTCTTCAAAAAATTCGTTTTTAATTTTGTTATTAATAACAAATAAGTTCTATGTTATCAGTTTATTCTCACTCACTTCTCGCTTGTAGAACTCACTTCCGGCTTCTTGCTACTCAATCAACTTTGTTCTTGAACTATTTAGATACAATGTCAATCGTTATCTTCTGTTTTTTTGATTTTGATTTTTTTTATCGTTATCTCTCCTGTTCTCTCTAGTGTTTTCCTCATATTCTCTGACATTCAGTAACCCCCAAACTTTTTAGTGGTTTTATTACCTTGCTCGGGGTGAAATGATTAAAAAAAATCTGTAACCCCATGGACATCAGGAAATGCTCTACCTCCCATTTGTTAGTTCAAAGAGGGGGTAACATCATTATATTTTTTGATTTAACGATTAATCTCTAATTCTCACTCACTCACTCACTCTTTCCGTCTGTCTCTCCCTCTCTTCCAGTAAATGAATTTTCTATGTTCATATCTATTCCTCTTTCTCTCTCTCTCTCTCTTTCTTTCTCTCTCTCTCTCTCTCTCTCTCTATATATATATATATATATATATATATATATATATATATATATATATATATATAAAGATATAGATATATATAGATATAGATATAGATGGCCTGAAGATTGCGTTCAAGCATGGAACAGACTGTCGCTGCTCGGTATTGACCTGAGTGTTGACTTTTATAATTACATACGCTCTATTCCTGATATTGAGCACTTTTACACATAAACATACCATAAGACTACATTTTATCATATATATATATATATATATATATATATATATATATATATATATATATATATATATAGAGAGAGAGAGAGAGAGAGATTTTTATCGCTCTGTCAATGTCTTAATCTTTGGTTAAAGGCTCGCACGTTGACCAACGTGTCTCGGACGCTATACTCACCGAGGGTCGTTATAGTGTGAGCTTGTACCGGAATAAGCTGGCATTTATGTATAACAAATTCGATTTAGACAGCTTCTTTCCCCCCAGAACTGTTATTTTGTGGGATAAACTCTCGAGAGAAAGCTTCCCTGACAACTACAATCCTGGGCTTTTTGCTTCCATGGTCAACCGATGTCTATTGTAGTCATCCTCATAATACCCTTACTTCCACCTCTCACTCAGTAACCCTCTACCTCGAGTAGCCCTTGGGCCTTGTATTGAGTGAACTACCATTGAAAATAACATTTCACCCACTCGATCAATTTAAAAAATTCCTTGAAAATTTTCGATGTAGTACCATTTATAGTGACTGGTTTTTAATGATGCGCCATAATTTGCTCATCGGAGAATATTATTTAATCGATTTAATTATTCTTGAAATGTCAAATAATAAACAATAATAGTTATTTCCTTTTTCTTTCTTTCCTCCCTTCTTTCCTTCCTTCCTTTCTTTCTTTATTTAATCTGTTGTTTCCTTTTCTTTAACGCAACTATTCTTTCTTTCTTTTTTTCTTTCTTTCTTCAGTGCAAATATTTTCATTTTCCTTCCTTTATTTATTTCCTTTCTTCTTCTTTCTTTCTTTCTTTCTTCTTCAGTACAAATATTTTCATTTTCTTTCTTCCCTTCCTTTCTTCGTTCCTTTAATCATTTCTTTCTTTCTTTAATCATTTCTTTCTTTCTTTTTCAATATAAATATTTTCATTTTATTTTCTGCCTCCTCTCTTTTTATCCTTCCTTCCTTTATTTATTGTTGCCATCCTTTTAAGTTCGTCTTCACAGCAATTTTATTTCTTTCTTCTTTTCTTTTTCTTTCTTTCTTTCTTTTTTTCCTTTCTTTCTTTCTTTCTTTCTTTCCTTTCTTTTTTTCTTTCTTTCTTTAAAAAACTATTTTAATTTTGTTTCTTTCTTACACTCCTTTCTTTCGCCTTTCATTTTTCTTTCTACAGTACAAATATTTTCATTCTTTATCCTTCCTTCCTTCCTTCCTTCCTTCCTTCCTTTACTTATTTATTTGTTTGCATTCTTTTAATTTCGCAATCAGATATTTTCTTTCTTTCTTTCTTTCTTTCTTTCTTTCTTTCTTTCTTTCTTCAAAATAACTATTTTAATTTTGTTTCTTTCTTACACTCCTTTCAACCTCCTTTCATTTTCCTTCTCCAGTTTAAATATTTTCATTCTCAATCCCACCATCCATCTATCCTTCCTTCCTTCCTTCCTTCCTTCCTTCCTTCCTTTACTTATTCATTTATTTATTGTTGCCATTTCTTCATCACAGCTATTTTCTTTTTATCTTCATTTATTTCTTCACAATAACTATTTTAATTTTTTTCTTTTTTCCTTCCTTCCACTTTTATTTCTTTCTGTTTTTCTTTCTTTCTTCTTTGATACAATTATTTTCATTTACTTTCTTTCTTCCTTTCTTTCTTTCTTTCTCCATTTTCTATTTATTTATTTTAGCTTGCAAGGGTATTTAATCTCATTGTAGAATCCACCCCGACAAAGCTGCTACCCGACGACGAACAACATTACACCACCCCGATTTAAGCACGCCAATGTTGAAATATAATACAAAACAAGCCCAGTTACGTCGTCGCCGTATGACAAATTGGTCTTTTTCTCTGACTCCGCCAACTTATTATACTAAAAAGACGAACGAGGGATTGGTATTTATGATAGCTTTAATCTTTATGGGCCAGCAAGGTACTAACCCCGCCCAGATTTAGTCCTGGGACTGGGAAAGAGTTGGGCAGTTAGCCTTGTGATAACAATGCGTTCGTTGTTAAGGCGAACACACGCATCTTGATTTGATTTCCTTCCTTCTAAGCCAACGTTGGTCGATCGGTACGTTTCACAGAAGAATGGAATTTTATAACGAAGATAATTTCCTTGTTTTCATCGATTTTTTCTTTTTACAGTAAGGTTCACCCTGTACAGGGCCCGAGGACCACTCGAGGTAGAGGGTTGCGTTTATATAGATAAGAGGGGAAGATAACGGTTGACTTAAAACTTGAACAGGTTAAGATTGTAGTGATCAGGGAAACGTCCCCTTGGGAGTCTGTTCCATAGGGCAGTGGCTCGCGGGAAGAAGCTGTTTGAGTAGAATATACTTCTTGCTGATGGAATACGAAGGGAATGTAGATGGTTTGCTACTAAGTAAGTGACATGACGGGTCCTAGCCGTGAAGGTCAGACCTGGTGGAAGAAGATGCAGTTCGTCCGAGCACTTTCCATGGTAGTAGCGATAGAGCAATAAGGGGTTCGCCACACCTGTGAGAAAGAGATTGGAGGGTGGATAATAATTCTTCTCCCACAAGGAGTCGGAGACGTTTTTAAACTCTATCAAGACTGGAAAATGAGGACTGTGAAGCTCCTGCCCAAATATGCCATCGGTACTCCATTTTCGGACTGATCTTGTCTCTTATAAAGGTAGAGGATAGCGTGAAGGGCCACGTACTTAGGGGAACCAATGGATCGTATATAGGAATATATTTAGCGATGGATCTTATATAGGAATTCCACTTGAGGTCGAGTGTGAGTTTGAGGCCCAATGAATTGCTTTAAATAAGAGTAAGAATTGAAAAAAAAAAAGAATTTCCTCGTTTTGCGACTAATTCGAATTACAATACTTTAGGTTGCCGATTCCTTATATTATCAAAAGGTTTACCGATGAAAATCATCCTTAAGCATCATCATCACAAAGCAGTCTGCGGAAGGAGCATTTACGTCGCGGTCCTAGTCAGATCAGTTCTCTGGGTGTCTCAAGCCAACCAAAAAAGATGACCTCTATGTTAGACATTTTCATGACGGTAGTCCTCGAGTGTAGAATCCAGAGGTTGGCAGTGAATATTTCGGAGACAGTAGGAAAGCGTAGTGCAGGTTCGCAGTGGATATCGCAGCAAGCGAGCAGAGCGCAGTTCTTCCGTCTGTCCTGTTCGCCGGACAAGTTGCCTCTGGTCAGGTTGGTAGGAAAACAAAGATGGCCGCCTTTATACACGACGGATACAGTGTTGTGCGGCTTCTGATTGGTCAACCTTCTATTGGTAGACTATAAAGGGAAATAAGTCATTTTGACTCGCTCACTAGTTATATATCCATATATACCCAAAAAACCGTAACAACCTCTACCTGTTTAGTGGTATTGCCCCCCCCCGCTTACATAAGAATGTCAGTCCACTCCCAACTCGAGAAATTGACTTTCGTCATCCACTCTAGGTTCTTGAATCAATGACATAGAGGCTCAAAACAAGACTTTGCTTTTTACACTCAGTTGAACCACTTAACAACATAACTCCTAATCAGCATCTCTCTCTCTCCCTCTCTCTCTCTCTCTCTCTCTCTCTCCCCCTACAGAATCCCCTCTGGCTCCAGTGATGCCTGTCCCTTCTAGTCCTGTTTATATTGCCCCCGAAAAACGGTAGAGCCAACCTTCAGAAATGGGAATATACCCCCGACGATAATATCAACTGCCAATGCGGGCAATTACAAACTGTGGAGCATCTTCTAGTTTGCCCCAATCTTGAAGACCCATGCACACTTAACGACCTTGAAATCTTAACACCCCAGGCAAGGCTCTGTGTACAACACTGGATGGGTGTAGTGTAGCAACTCGATAAGAAGAAAAATCATCACAAAGTAACTACATTATCTTACAGGATTGTATTTTTGGCAGGCAGATTTTTTCTAAGGTTCAAGAGCCACTCAAGGTAAAAGATTACTGTGTGAGGTTGTTATAGAAATTTAAGTGGAAGAAGTAAGTGCAAATTATAAGAGTCTGTGCTACAAAGTAGCGGTTTTTGGAAAGAATATTTCTGGGTGGAACTTCCTCCTTACCAATGGAATACGAAGAGAATGAGGACGATTTAACCCTGTGCACGTGGTGTGGTTCTATATGTCTGAACTAGTGGAATTAAAGAATAGAGCTCGTCTGAAGATTTGCTATGCAAATAGCGATAGGCTTGCAACGTTTTGTCTGTGGGAAAGGGTTGGAAATAATTAATTACCCATAAGGCCACATAGATGCTTTTGAACTCAAAAGCTAGAAAAAAAAGTATGGATATCTCTAGTCAAGACATGGCAGCAATTTTTGGTCTGATCACATTCTTGTAAAGATTGAGCATGACAGAAGGTACTTTCAGGTGTGGTAACAGGAACCGGCTATTTTTACAGAATTTTTAGTGATGGACCGTATATATGAATTCGATTTAAGATTTGGCGTTAAATTTGCATTTTATTCGCATTTCTGAAAAAAAAACAGTAATAAGTGAATACTACCTCCGATTTAGCAATTAAGTGATAGAAGTAAATTAATTACAAAAAAAAGATTGTTACAGAATGCGAAAGGCAGTGCCAGAATGTTCAGCGATTGACCGGAGTGCTTTGTGGGCGGGGTATTCTGACAATGATGGATTGCCATTGTCTGTGTTTTATATATAAATCCATAATGGAACCTGCGCTGAATTGACCATGCGATGAAATATCCTTGCGTTGCAATGGGTTTTTGTTGAATTGTCTTTACGTTGATTTGATCTTCCACTAAACTCGCCTTACGCGGATCTGTGCTTGCGTCGAATTCTCTCTGTGCTGAACCGAACTTGTGCTGAACTGTTCTCACATTGAATGACCTTATCTCAAATTGTTCATGCACTTATCAGACTCAGCCGGCGTTGAAATGACCTCGTGTTGAATAACCTTTCTTGCTGATATGACCTTGAGCTGAACTCTCCTTGTCCTGAACTGAATTTACACTGACATTGCGATGAACTGAATTTGTGCTCGATTTTCTTAACGGTAAAATGATTTTCTACTGAATTGTCTTTACGTATATCTGGCATTGTTTTGGACTGTTCTTACGCTGAACTGACCTTGATCTGAACTTTCCTTGATTTGAAATAATGTGATCTTGAATTGTCCTTGCACCTAAACTGACTGAATTAATTCAAATAACATACAAGTAAAATATGAAACTCAAAACAGACATCCTAAGACATCTAAGGAAGCAGTTCTATTTCAATATTAAGATTGTATATAAAATGGAGAACTGAATTATTAACGAGAAAAAAGATGGCCCCAAATAAGTTGTGGGAACATTGTTATTATTATAAATAATAATAATAATAATAATAATAATAATAATAATAATAATAATAATGAAAATTATAAATAAAATAAAATAAAATTTAAAAAATATTTAAAATAGATAAAATAAATAAAAATAAAATTACTCCCAGCATGCAACAGAGACTTTTCCTGTCGGAAATCTGAACATCCCCGTCAAGAGACGTTATATTCAATCTCTTCGTCATGATGACAGTACGTGTATAACTTCCCTCGGTGGTAGGACTTGTGATATTACGGAGTGACTTCTTTTCTTTTTATGTGCCATGTCCTTTCAGGACGTAGGCGATCATGGCTCTCCACCGCCTCCCTCTATCCCTTGCAGCTCTCAACAAGTTCCTTCCCTCTGCTTCCTCCCCCAGACCCCGTTCTGTCGTTCACTTGCTTAAGCCCGACAGGTATGTCATACGTTGTTTTCTCTTATCTCTTTTTCCCTCTATTCGACCCGTGAGTATCAGATTCTCCAGGCCCTCCTTCATTCTTTCGTTTTATGTGCCATGTCCATTTAGGATGTAGGTGGTCATGGCTCTCCACCTCCCTCTATCTCTTGCAGCTCCCAACAAGTTCCTTTCCTCTGCTTCCTCCCTCAGACCACGTTCTGTCATCCACTTTCTCAAGCCTTCCAGGTATGTCACGCGCTGCTTTCCCTTGTCTATCTTTCCCTCTATTCGACTCGTGAGTATCAGATTCTCCAGGCCCTCCTTCCTCATTATGAGTCCCACAAACTTTAGCTGCCTCTTTCTGCTGTTAAGTATAAGCCTCTTCCTTGTTTGCATCCTCTCTAAGACTTCATCGTTGCTCACACCCTTGGTCCATGATATCCTTAGCATCCTTCTGTAGAACTACATCACCATCGCCTCGAGTCTCTTCTTCATCCTTGGGGAAATCGTCCAGCATTCGCTGCCGTAAAGAAGGACAGATGTCACGTAACAGCTCAGTATTCTTTTCTTTGTTATGAACCTTATCACAAATGTAATGTAAAACACACACACACTAGTACACACAAATACATGAATAAAATTGTATGAAATTACTATAGAATTTACCATGTTTTTTTATTGTTACAGTATACGTTTGTTTGTTCTGTTTTTCCTCGTGAACACAAGCCCAAACTGATGACCACATGATGTGAGTGGACTATACCTTCACAAAGTCCTAAACACAAAACATCGAAACTGTGGTTTATAAATGCATTCAAATGTTGACGACATGTTTCACCAATAAAGTATCTTGCACGTCGTTAAATGCTCGCGACATCGCCATAAAGATTAACGTCTACACAGAGTTTTAAAATGTACTCGAGTTGTCAGCCATTACTCGCCGACATCAGCCCGGGTTTTGTAAATGACCAGAAACAGTGTTGAAAGAACTCGATCAATAATATTTTTGACAACATTTACGAAGTGGGGTGGGGCAATGTTTCGTCATTTCGACCGAGAAGTATTCGGTAATCTCTTGTATATTCATTGTATTACATGTGCTCTCTTGGTCCTACGAAAGAAAACCTCTGAAAAAATTAATAAAACAAAACAAAAACTGTTCTTCTTTCAGGTTTTTATTATACAGGTTGGCCGTCACCAACCTGGCGGTAAGTAGTGTGCTTCACTCAATAATCCGGGACTATTTCCCACAAGAGCTATTTGAAATTCAAGCCCATCAAAAGATGAAACGTGTCGGTAAAGAAAAGTTTTGCTTTTGTCATTATTATTATACATATATATATATATATATATATATATATATATATATATATATATATATATATATATATATATATACTAGCAGCATGGCCCGGCGTTGCCCGTGCTTGATTCAAAAATCGTACGACTCATACAGCAATCGCTATCACTTGACTAAAAAATGTTTTTGCCCTTTCTTGCCTTTAAAGGAGTGCCTTTTTCCGTGCTGATGTTGCTACATGCCTTACTTCTTGCCTATCTCACACTTAGAATTTTTTCTAAGCTCTATACTAAACATTAAATCTGTTACGAAAAAAGAACTAAATAAAATGAACACAAAATCTTTAAAAAAGGACTCGTAACTGGAAAAACCGAATGAAAAAAGACTGTTAACAACAAATACTTTTTCACGCCCAACCTAGTTCTGCAGAAACTAGAATCAACGTTGAGTATAAGCAAGCGAATGAGCCAATTGGAGTAAAGTGCCATGCAGATTTAAATTTTTCCCACATGTGACGAATGCAGCTATCGATTTTTTTTTTTTTTTTTTGCATGCTAGCATGGTAGTTAACATTCGTGTCAGTCAGCTGTTGGCTCTCACGCTGGCCAATAGAATCTTCCTGCCTATTCGTGGCAGCCAGCTATAGGCTCTCACTCTGGCCAGTAGAAAATGGCCGCAAACAACATGAAAACTGCCGTAGAAGCATGAAAAAATCGATTATTTCCACTATCGATGGGAGTTGGGAAATGCAAAGTCGGAAAATTGCGGCCGGACATTCGTTACGCACACACACACACACACACACACACACACACACACACACACATCCTGCCTTTTATAGACACACAGATAGATAGATAGATAGATAGATAGATAGAGAGAGAGAGAGAGAGAGAGAGAGAATTAATACAAATATAAAATTTGCTGGTTTGTGTTACCTTTGGCATCCCGACTCTAGAATTTCGTAGACAGACCCTCCAGCAATCAATTCGTCTACTCGTCTGGCGATAATTATGATTTTTTCATTATTTTCCACAAGAGCTATTTGAAATTCAAGTCCATCAAAGAATGAAACGCGTCAGTCAAGAAATATATATATATATATATATATTTATGTTTTGATTATTCATGACTATTTCTACACTTTACCACTGAAATCCGTTCACCAATTATCATTCCATTGGTAAAGAGTCAGTTCCTATCCTTCATATTCAAGTAATCTGCACTTCTTAATTCTCTACTAAATTCCTCATTTAGTAACCCTCTGCCTTGAGTGGATTTGGGGCTTTTATTTAGACGAACAACATAAAAACCTAAAAATTTAACTTTAGAAAACTTTTTTTTTCTCTTTGCTTTCGTGTTTTCAAATTTGAAAAGTTTGCCACTCCGACAAGAGGCGTATACAATTCACATCCGGATTTCGTGACATCCTGTTTGAAAATCTTTATCGTTTCTATTATTTCCTTTTTAATAATATTTCTTTCATCTTTAGTCATATGTCACGCCGAAAACTTATTCATTATTTCTGATCTGAGTTCTTTCTTTCTTTCTTTTTTACATAGACTGACCGTCTGATGAAATGGTACCCGGAAT